CTCTGACCCTCCCCCCTCTCATGTGCTCTCTCTCTCTCTCATTCTGTCTCAAATAAATAAATAAAATCTTTAAAAAAAAAATAAAAAAAATAAAGCAAATGATATTCTACTGGAAGAACTATAAATGGTACAACCACTCTGTAAAACATTCTGGCATCGCCTATTTCGGCTGAAGCTAAACACACCCTGAGATACAGCAATTTCACTCTGAGATATATATCTAAGCTATACCACCCTTCACATCAAAATAAGGGCACATTTGAACCAGAAAACAGACAAGAATTTTCACAGCAGCATTATTCCTAACAATCCAAACTGCAAACAATATGTTTAATTAATAGGAAAACCTGCCAAATACTCAAACCATGGAATGCTATGTAGAAACTACAACTTCTTTTTTTTTTTAATCTTTTTTTTTTTTTTTGACAGAGAGAGACACAGTGAGAGAGGGAACACAAGCAGGGGGATTGGGAGAGGGAGAAGCAGGCTTCCCGCCGAGCAGGGAGCCTGATGCGGGGCTCAATCCCAGGACCCTGGGATCATAACCGGAGCTGAAGGCAGACGCTTAATGACTGAGCCACCCAGGCGCCCCAGAAACTACAACTTCTATCCAGCTTGCAAGCTAAGAATGCTTTCCATGTTTTTAAAGGATTGTACTACAAAAACATAGGAGCATAAGTGAGAGACTTTCACAGAATATGCCTGACTCTTATTGCAGAGCAAAAACAAATACACCTCTGTGCAAAAACATGAATCATTCTTAAAAATATTGAGCAAAAGCAGACTCACATTTAAAGATGCATGAAGTATAATTACAATGACACACAGAAATAGGCACAACTAAATAAAATATGATTAGGAATGATTTTTTAATATGATAAAACTATAAAGAAAAGCCTTAAAGTGCTTGATAGCAACAGCAGGATGGTAATTACCTTTGGGTGTGAGGATGCAATATAATTGGGAAGAGGCTCACAGCACATCACTGGGTGCTGGCAGCATTCTGTTTCTTGGCCTGGGCAATGATGGCTTTATGTAAATATACATTACTTTTATACAGATCAACTTCTAGATCTTTTAAACTAACAATAAACAGAAGTGCTCAACAACTCCAAAAGCCTGTTCTTTAAAAATACCAGTAAGGGGGAGGAAAAGATGGTGGAGGAGTAAGGGACCTACTCCAACCAGTCCCCGGATTTGAGCTGGGTGTCTACCAGACCACTCTGAACACCCACAAAATCAGCCTGAGATGTAAGAAGATATATCTGGATCTCTACAGAGTATCACAGGCGGTTGGTTTCAAGGTATGAAGCAGGGAGGGAGCCATGGGGATCCTGCACCCCCAGTTCCCAAAAGCCTCCTACGCTGTGGACGGGGCACAGACTCGCAGACCAATAGCGGCAGGGAAAGGACTTTAGGGCAGCCCCCCAGACTGAAACGGGAGCAGCGGGGCCCCGCGTGCACACTGGGGGGCGGCTGGCAGTTTTAGAAGCACAATGGGCAGAGATGTGCCCCCGAGCCCCAATCTGGAGGCGAGGACTGGGAGTCCTGCTGAGAGGCACACAACCCAGGATGCTGCAGTTTATAGCAGCACAGACAGAAACAGAGATAGTGTGGCCTGGAAAGCTCACT